AGCAGATGTGTTCCAACATCATGAGCAGGTGTGCTCCAGGGTCACCAGAAAAATAAGTTCCGATGTCACCAGCAAGTGTGTTCCAAGAGTCACCAGCAGGTGTGTTCCAGTGTTACCAGGAAGTGTGTTGCAAAGTCACCAGATTGCAGACAGGGGTCTAGGGCAGTGTTTCACAGTAACTAGCAGGTGTGTTTCAGCATCGTCAGCAGGTGTGTTCCAGGGTCACCAGCAGGTATGTTCCAGCTTCGCCAGCTAGTGTATTCCAGCATGTGCTCCAGGATAACCAGAAAAATTAGTTCCAATGTCACCAACAGGTGTGTTCCAAGGGTCATCAGCAGGTGTGTTCAAATGTTCAAAAGCCACCAGATTGCAGACGGGAGTCTAGGGTAGCGTTTCATGGTAGCTAGCAGGTTTGTTTCAGCATCACCAGCAGGTGTATTCCAGGGTCACCAGTAGGTGTATTCCAGGGTCACCAGCAGGTATGTTCCAGCTTCACTAGCAAGTTTGTTCCAGTGTCAAAAGATAGTGTGCTCCAATGTCACCAGAAAATGCATTCCAGTGTCACCATCAGGTGTGTTCCAGGGTCACCAGTAAGTGTATTCCAGTGTTACGAGTAGATATGTTCCACGATCACCAGATTGCAGACAGGGGTCTAGGGTAGTGAGAAACTGAACTACATGTTCAATTTTGCTTACAGTGTACATTAGGTTGTTGATTTAGTGTTAGGGGCTATAGTTAGGGTCAGGTTTTCAGACTTTAGATATACTTTAAATGTTAAGTATAGGTTAGATAAAAGGTTAAGTGTGTAGGCCAGGTTAAAGTGGCGGTTATATCACACATTTCACCATGCTATGCCTTCCAGGGACAGGAAGGTTTGTTGTGGGTAAACTATTTTTCCAACATGTTTTAAGTGTCAGAATCCTTTGTACCTAGAACTTTGAAATCAATGAACCAATTACATCAGTTTGAACTCAGCTATATATGCGGTCTGTGGGTGCCATTTTGTAAGCTGAACCATTGCTGGGTTTTCACCTTGTTTCCAATATCAAACAATGATTTATATGTAGCATATTCTAGTGTGATACTAGAATAGTGAATTACATTGCAGGTAAAAGCATTGTGTAGGACTCATGGTAACTGTGTGTGTCTGTGATTGAGGTTGGGTTACTGCAGGTCAGTTGGATGACTTAAACAGGTTTGGACTATCGCCTATTCCTGGCCCTGGAGGACCATAGAAACTTCCAGAAGTCAGAGAGAAGGAAGGGGTGTAAATTTAATTTGCATGTTTATGGGAGTCTAGCCTATCCCAGGTTTGGAGGCCCTGGTTGAGTGGTAGACCGGCCCATATGTGGGAGAGTCCGGCTGGTAGAGGCATTCGGGTGGTGCCTGGTAGGGGTAACCTAGGTCTGGGGGGGAAGCCGGCCTCCAGGCTGGGCTCGAGCTGGCTCAGGAGGATTCATTCAGCAGTGCAGCATGAATGGGATCAAGGCTTGGAGCAGAGAGTGAGTACATCGGCACACACTGGGATTCACAGGGGGAAAGATTGCTACATTCAGCAAGCTTTCAGAGGACAGTGCTGGGCTCAATCCTTTATCCTTGTCCTGGGAGATCTTAGGAGCAGCCAGGAGGGCTGGTAGTCTCTGCAGGCTGTGGAGCTGGGAGCAGTTCTATGGGGAGGAGAGCAATCCAGATATGTAGTGAACAAAGTCAAGCTGATTTTAGAAGGTTCCTCGCCCATAAAGGGCTGTTGCTACTGATCCGCAAAGACTGATGGCTTTAGAGGGAAAAGAACAGTCCAGGATCTGACTTTGTACATAGGAAGGAAGTTGCACAACCCCCCGTTCATTGATTCATGCCAAACTGGGCATCCCATAATCTCTATTCCCCATCCAAGGTATTGTCCCCTAATAAAATAACAAAACCAACCTCACGGACTGTTCCCTGACTGTGGATACAAGTGTGAAAATGCATGTTGCCTGGCTGTGCAGGGCTAAGGGTACCTACATTTTAGCAGCCCTCACGAGGGTAGCACTACATATAACCTGTCCAGTAACCATACTCACCCTCCTCCGGTTCCCAGGCAGTAATCAGAAGTCCTCTCCTTCTGCAGGATGAAGGCTTAACCATACAGTGCCATGTGTACTGCATGCTGAAGGCATGTGCTGTGTATAATTTGTGCAATAGAGGGCTGTGGGATGCTATATTAAAGTCTTGCAAAGGAACTCTGGGAAAAATTCAAAACTACTCTTGTAGTGGGTCACCCTCTCTGCACTGCAAGAGTTAAATGCTCATTTCTGTAGACCAGAGGTCTCTAAAATTCTCAGTCTGAGGCCCACTGGCTCACATCATATCAATGAAATTTAGTCTGCACATTTCTCATCAGAGTCCCCATCGAAGTACCTCCTTACATCAGGATACCTATCAGAGGCTCCCCTTACATCAGGATCCCAGTCAGAATCCCCCCTTACATCAGGGTCCCCATCAGATTTCCCCCTTACATCAGGGTTCCCATCAGATTTCCCCCTTACATCAGGGTCCCCATCAGATTTCCCCCTTACATCAGGGTCCCCATCAGATTTCCCCCTTACATCAGGGTCCCCATCAGATTCTCCCATTACATCAGGGTCCCCCATCAGATTTCCCCCTTACATCAGGGTCCCCATCAAAGTCTCCCCCCCTTACATCAGGGTCCCCATCAGATTCTCCCCTTACATCAGGGTCCCCATCAGATTCTCCCCTTCTCCCCTTACATCAGGGTCCCCATCAGATTCTCCTCTTACATAAGGGTCCCCATCAGAGTCTCCCCTGTACATCAGGATCCCTTATCAGAGTCTCCCCTTACATCAAGGTCCCCATCAGATTCTCCCCTTACATCAGGGTCCCCATCAGAGTCTCCCCTTACATCAGGGTCCCCATCAGATTCTCCCCTTACATCAGGGTCCCCATCAGAGTGTACCCTTACATCAGGGTCCCCATCAGATTCTCCCCTTACATCAATATCCCCATCAGAGACTCCCCTTACATCAGGGTCCCCATCAGAGTCTCCCCTGTACAACAGGGTCCCCATCAGAATCTCCCCTGTACAGCAGGATCCCTTATCAGAGTCTCCCTTTACTTCAGGGTCCTCATCAGATTCTCTGCTTACATCAGAGTCTCATCAGAGTCTCCCCTGTACAGCAGGATCCCAATCAGAGTCCCCCCTTACATCAGAATCCCTATCAGAGTCTCTTACCACATACTCTGATTCCGCTTAGTGAAATTTCCCCTCTGTTTGAAGTTCGTTAGGTTCGAATGTTCGACCGTGAACCAAAAAGAGGGGCGTTCGGTCCATTGCCATTCAATTTGTTACTTTTTTGGGGAGTATTTTCAAAATAAATCCTTGTTCTTTTACCATGGTGTGTCAGAGGGTGTGGCATTGCCAGAAGAGAATCCGGAATCGGGGAGCACAGACATCAGGAGCTGCTTTGGGGGGGGGGAAGTGCTACGTACTGTACGTTACAAATGTATTTTGAACATTTCTGGTGAATGGATAGCTGGGGCTAATATAACATGCTTTGTATAACCCAGAGGTGGGCATCTGTGGCCTTGCAGCTGTTGTAGAACAACAAGTCCCATCATACCTCCTCCTCCGCTCAGGGGCGTATTTACCACAAGGCATTTGCCTAGGGCGGCATTTTTTCAGGGGGGCAGCCCCGCCCATTTGGAAGAAGGGAAGGAAGAAGGGACAGATGCGGCTTGGGGACCAGGTAGGATCTGAGAGAGGCTGCGGGCTGCTTGACTCTCATTCCCGGGGATGTCCACAGATGTGAAGGTGAGTGTCCTTCTCTCTCTTGCTGGGAGGGGAGTGGCCGGTGCACGGGGGCGATGGTATTGGAAGGCTCTCTCAGGTGTGGGGGGGGGGGGGGTGAATTTTGTGTGCACAAAACCTATATACACCACTGCCTCGGGTAGAACTGTCATTCTTCCCATCATGCCTCTGGGAGTCATGCTTGTAACTGTCAGTCTTCTAAAGCCTCCTGGGACATGTAGTTCCACGACAGCTGGAGGGCGCAGTTGCCCACCTTTGGTGTAACCCATCTCAGGACTCAATATTCTATTTGCCTGTAAAAAAAAACTACTAACAAATATCTTTGCCTTTAAAAAAAATTGAACTAGTTAAAAGAACCCCAAAAAAAAAAAAAAAAAAAAAAAAAAAGATAAAAGCCTTTTTTTTTTCATTTTGCCAAATGGATTTTGTAGACCTGTCCTATTCTTTGTCATAAATCAGCAAAAGGAAATGCTGGAGCCTTCAAGGCCGGCCGTGTAATTATAGATCTGCGGGTTTGGAAAGAGAGTAAATGCTGAAATAATGTTTTGTACAGGCACAGTCCTCGGTGTTCCAGAACTGCTACATGTGTGTCCTTGAATTGAGTTACTGACCTGTCCGTGAGAGGAGACTGACCCCCCAAATCTGTTTACTGTCATTTCCATGAGATTCCACCAACCGCCGGGACTTACCTACCTTTCAAAGAAAAATTTTTTTAAAGTGTTACTAAACCCACAACAGTAAAATCAGTTTGTATATGCAGGAAATCATGCTTGTTATACTTACTGAGGGACCTAAGGGGTTAATCCTCTGCATTGTATAAAAAGGCAGTTTGATCCTGTCTTCTCTGCTCCTCCTCTTGTTCAAAAGTCCACATCTTATCTCCTGATAAGACAGACTGAACCGTAGCCATTCTGCACACGCTCAGTTTAGTGTGTATTGCTAGAGAGGTGTTTTTTTTTTTTCTTGGGAGAGTGCATGTGATCAGCACAGGGCCAATCAGCACTGTCCCGAGAGAGGTCAGGGGTCCTGCATTCTCCTAGAGCAGAAAGAAAACTCCTCTTACAAGCTTTAACCAGTGCTCTGCTGGACACTGATAGAAGTCACAAGACTGCTCTATACTGTTGATGAGAAAAGATATTTAATAGTTTATATTTACAAAAATAATTGCATTTCCATGTTATGTGTACTATAAGAGGCAAGCTATAGTGAATGCAGGGTTTGGGAGAGCGGATATAGTGAATGCAGGGTCCGGGGAGACCAGATATAGTGAATGCAGGGTCCGGGGAGACCGGATATAGTGAATGCAGGGTCCGGGGAGACCGGATATAGTGAATGCAGGGTCCGGGGAGAGCAGATATAGTGAATGCAGGGTTCGGGGAGAGCGGATATAGTGAATGCAGGGTTCGGGAGACCAGATATAGTGAATGCAGGGTCAGGGGGAGACCGGATATAGTGAATGCAGGGTCCAGGGAGACCGGATATAGTGAATGCAGGGTCCGGGGAGAGCAGATATAGTGAATGCAGGGTCCGGGGAGAGCGGATATAGTGAATGCAGGGTCCGGGGAGACCGGATATAGTGAATGCAGGGTCCGGGGAGAGCGGATATAGTGAACGCAGGGTCCGGGGAGAGCGGATATAGTGAATGCAGGATCCTGGGAGAGCGGATATAGTGAACACAGGGTCCGGGGAGACCGGATATAGTGAATGCAGGGTCCGGGGAGACCGGATATAGTGAATGTAGGGTCCGGGGAGAGCAGGATCCTGGGGAAATATAGTGAATGCAGGGTCCGGGGAGACTGGATATAGTGAATGCAGGGTCCGGGGAGACCGGATATAGTGAATGTAGGCTCCGGGGAGAGCGGATATAGTGAATGCAGGGTCTGGGGGGGGAGAGCGGATATAGTGAATGCGGGGTCCGGGGAGACTGGATATAGTGAATGCAGGGTCCGGGGAGAGCGGATATAGTGAATGCGGGGTCCAGGGAGAGCGGATATAGTGAATGCAGGGTCCGGGGAGAGCGAATATAGTGAATGCAGGCTCCGGGGAGAGCGGATATAGTGAATGCAAAGTCCGGGGCCTTTTGTTAATGTTTGAAGGATCCGAAATAACATAATGACAAATTATCTGTATTGATTCGGATCCATTTGTTTTTATTCTAGTGAACGTAGCATTAATATCCTATTCTAAAAGATTTCTTTTTGCACTGGGGTTGAACTTGAGAGACCATTTGTTTAATTTATATATATTAATTTATCATGTCAAACCCTGAAGAGAATGGACTACGGCAATAAAACAAAAAACTGGTTAACTGACAAATGTTGGACCACCTTTTGCATCCAAGACGGCCTGAATTCTCCTGGGAATCCAAAAAATATAAGTCTTGGATGACGGATAATAGAATCTGATACCACTCTTCATGCAAAATTTGTTCCAGGTTTCGCAGAGATGCCGGAGGTGGAAAATGAGCCTGAATCTTGTTCTCCAAAATTGACCATAATGGCTCCATGATATTGAGGTTCGGTGACTGTGGTGCCCAGGGAAGGTGCAAGACTTTGTCTGCATGCTCATCACTCCATGATTTTACAACACCAGCTGTGTGAATCGGAGCATTATCTTCTTGGTAAATGGCGCTGTCTTTGGGAAACAGTGTCTACACCATGGGGTGCACATGGTCGGCCAAAATTTGTGAATAGTCGGTGGCAGTAACTCTACCTTTCAAGGTGATGATGGGGCCTGCAGAATACCAAGATATGGCTGCCAAACCATGATCACACCACCACCATGCTTTACCGTTGGCAGAACACAGTCCTGGTCCTAAGCTTGGGATGGTGTTTGCCACACAAACACGTCTGTTGGTTGGGAACAGTGTGAAGCTTGATTCATCTGACCATATTACAGTCTTCCATTGATCGATAGTCCACAATTTATGTGTGTTGCACTCTTCTCTCCTCTTCTGAGCATTAATATCGGTCACTAGTGGTTTGGCAATTACATCTCACCCATGAATGTTTTCCCATTGGAGTTCTTCACACTGTTTTTGTGGACACGGGCTGAGATTGAGCTCTGCAGTTACTTTTGCACAATGTCCTTTTGTCTCTTTCGGTCAGGTGACCATGTCGACCGCGCCTATGCTCATCAGATGACATTTTCCCCGAAACTGTGTATGCTGTCAAAACCCTGATCCTCGTGGTACCTTGCCACACCGCAATTAAATTGGCAATGTGAAAGACCGCCTGGCACCCCAACTGGTTTCTTCCGCCAAACGGTGCCTCCCCCAAACTCATCCTGCAAATCAATAGCTAACACCAGCCCTTTAATCCAAACATCATAAGCAGACAAGATGTTGAGGTTTAAACCAAAGGAATAACGATTTATTGAAACCCAGACACATACTTTATACCTCCAGGAGGACATTCTCTCTTGAGATATTAGTTTGGATAAGACGTACAACCTTTAAAAACATGACAATGCAACATTTAAATATTAGTTTAATTAACAGCTAGGCACCTAAGCAAATGTTATCAGTATGGCTAGTAGTCACAAGAATTCCCCACCTTGCCTCCCTTGTCTATGTGCTGGAAAACATGTCCACCATTACTCATGATTAGCCAGACTGTGCCCACCAGGATGCCCAGAAACAGTTCCTCAGCCCCAGGTACATACAGTACATTACACCACTCATTTCCAAATGTCCCACCTAAGATCCAGCTTTGATCTAGGCTACAAAGTTAATAATATAAGGCTGGTAGTAGCCAGGGCAAAATGGGCAAATGCTGCATTGTGCAGTTCTGGAGGAGCAGCCAGGGCAAGATAAGAAATATGCCCAGGAACAGGTCCATATCCCCGGCTGGTAAATCTGTCCTACACAATGTACCCGTAGACACACCACTGTTCTGGGGACTACCTGGATGCATAATCCCAGTAGATACTCCCGGCCAGTCAAAGGGTTTCAGGACTTGGCTTTCCTCCATGCTCTGACCAGGAGAAGCAGACAAAATCCCCGTGCTCCTCCATGGGTCATAATCAGTAGATAGAAGGCTAGCCCATAGTCCCTTCCAATAGTCCATGTCCCGGCAGGGTCTGTCACAGGAAACTTCAGTCACAGAGACACCAGTAAGCGGCACCAACAATTTGCCTTCTTTGAAGCTCAGTAAGCTTTGACATGACTCTACTAGGAGCGCACACAGTGAATGAGAAAAGTGAGGCTTCCCACCTGTTAGCTAGGTGTCTCATCACACAGCGGAAGCAAAAGAATGTTACATTGCTTTTGCTTTCAACTCGAAACTCGGGGGGTAGTAAATCTCTGATACATGCGTGGCACCCTCCTGGGTAGCTAGGGGGAGCTCTAGCTTCAACTGTTAATTAGAGGCTGAGTAGCAGGCTAGGTAGGTGGTGATAGCCAGGTGGGTCAAATTTGGTCAGGGCTGAGAGGCTCTGTAGACCAGCTCTCTGGGATTTTCCGCCTGCTCTAGAACTTTGGAGAAAGATCCAGAAGCAGTGGGCAGAGGCAAGGAGTAGCTGGTCTGTACTCTTAGAGGATCCTGGTCAATCCCCAACAGGAGGCTTGGCAAGGGGCTAGGACAGACTTTAAGAGTAACTGAGCCTGCTCAGCAGGGGAATAGTTAGAAGCAGGGACGGACTGACCATTTGGAAACTCGGGCACTGCCCAAGGGCCTGGGGTTAGTAGGGGGCCCCATGAGATGCCCCTGGTACCTTTTTCATAGGCTTTTTTGAATTTGGGCAAGGACACAGGGGCCCCATGATCCCCTATTGCCCGGGGCCCCCATGAGTTGTCAGTCCACCCCTGGTTAGAAGAGAGTTCAGGTGGAAGATGAGGATGTGAAACTGGAGAGCAGGAGCCTGGAAGGGGCCCAGATGGAGGGGGGTTCACCTTCAGGGAGGAGGACCTTGGAAGGAGGAATGCTTGGGACTTCACTGGCCCCTGAGAGAGGACCACCTGTGAGGCAGGGAAGGAGCTGCCCAGGTAGAAAGCCTAGTAGCAGCCACTGGCAAGACAGGAGAAGGACTAAGTGAGTAGATCTGCACCCCCTGGACCAGATAGGGGAGGGAGCACTCTGGTGGGAAACCAGATTAGCAACTACCCAGGACTGTCTTACTTTGACGTGGCAGGCACTGGATCCCCTGCTTAGGGGTTTTCCTCAGATTGCTGGATGTGAGGAGGATTCATTTGGGGTGGTACAATCAAAGATGCTGGCTAGCTCTCCAAAAGAGACTGTTTGCTGTAAAAATTTATTTGTAGTTCCAGCAAGTTGTCCTCAGTTTCTAAGTTCCATTGGGCATCCCGTACACCCTTTACCCTATTCAAGTTCAATTCCCCTGATAAATTCTTCAAAAAACAAGCTCAAGACCGGTTACTGTCTCCTGGATGCAAGTTACTGTGAAAATGTGTGTTGCCTGGCTGTGCAGGACTATAGGGGACCCAAAACTTCAGCAACTCCTAAGGGGGTAGTCCTACACATGTGATAGAACGTCATTCTATAAGGAAACAGCAGACTCTCAAAATGTATCCAATGGAGTCTCAAGGAGTCCAGTATTTCCTTCTAATATGTCATGAGCACTTCAGTAGGATAGGTTCACATCTGGGCTGGTGTGCATGCAAATCGCACGCGTTCCTGAACCTGCATGCAGCCACACAAAAAAAGCACTGCTTTTAGGAAAACCCTCGGGAGTGCCATTAACGCTTAATGGTACCCCCAAACACTGAAAAACGTGGTGTGGATTCCCGCAGGTGGAAACGCATGGTGCTAAATCCGTGCGGCTGTGGTTTTTTAAAGAAGGGGCCCTTTTCTTGCAGGAAAATGCAGGCACCCATATGGAAGAAAAATATATTACATGTATTTGAAACGCTACAATTTTGGCCATATTCAACATATTTAAAAAAAAAAAACAAAAAAAAAAAAAAACAAACCAAAAAGAAAAAAAAAATTATATATATATATATATATATATATATATATATATATATATGTATGTGTATATATATATATATATATATATATATATGTGTATATATATATATATATATATATATATGTATATGTGTATATATTATATATATATATTTGTACCCAAATGGAAGAAAAATATATTTGAAATATATTTTAAAAATATTCTTCCCAAATATATTGACATATATTTGAAATGCTACAATTTTAGCCATAATCATATATATATATATATATATATATATATATATATATATATATATATCAGGGGCGGACTGACAACTCATGGGGCCCCCGGGCAATAGGGGATCATGGGGCCCCTGTGTCCTTGTCCACACTCCAAAAAGCCTATGAAAAAGGTACCAGGGGCATCTCATGGGGCCCCCTACTGACCCCGGGCCCTCGGGCAGTGCCTGAGTTTCCCAATGGTCAGTCCGCACCTGAGTCTCACCCTACCCGTATGGTGTGAATGATGCTTATCCAATGACAGATCTTTGTGGTGTGACCTATGTGGACTGTGCTGATTTGCCTAGTCCTCCGGCCGGGTGAAGTGCATGGAGTTTGCTCACACACACTATGGAAATGAAGCCTCCACTCCTAGCGTGCCGCCATTATTTGTTGTGTACACATCTCTCAGCTCCGCTATTTGTGTTGTGTG